ATTTATTAATAAATGCTATCAATGTTAATTTTCCTCGAATTTCTTTTTAGTAAAAATATGAATCAATTTTTTAATTCAATTCGAGGAAGATTTTAAAATTACAAGGGGCACATCGAAATTGAATAAATTTTTGATGTATAAAAATTCTAACTTAGAGGTACGAATGATTGGTATATAATTTGAAATCAATTGAAATTAATTAGAAAAATCAAAAGTTATTTAAACGTAACTAGTTAAAGATTTTAAAACTAGTGAAATATTGCGTATTAGGTTTTAATTTAAAATTAAGTTTTACTATTGATACTTGCAACGCGAATAATTAAACAACCATAAATTAAAGAATAATTAAATAACCATAAAATAAAAGTAATTAAAACAATCCTTTATGAGGAGTGTTTATTCCTCATAAAAGATTGAATTTACAGAAATTCTCAAAAGATAAGATTCATTCTTTTACCGTTACCTTAGAGCAATCCTTTTATCCATCCCAGTGCATATACTTGGAGTAGTTTTCTTTATTTCATAAGATACCCATGGGTAATTTTTAATATTTTTTCAGGCTTTCTTTTTCTTATGCGCTATTCTTTTTCTCCTGGATATCGGAATGCAATTTCTTCTTAGAGATAAGTAAAAATTTTACTGTTTTCTCAATTCTTTCAATACTTGACGGAATTTAAATTTACCATCATTCTGATTATTTGTTCTGAGAGAAATTTCGGGAACTTTTTTTTTTTCTGGATTTTATTTCTGTTTTATCACCAATATAAATTACATGCCCATTTATGACAATAATTATAGATGCTCACAAACATATACAACACCGATATCATCTCGTGCTTCATATGGCCCCCCAGAACCGAATCGTATTGATAGTTACCGTACAAGAATACATGTTGGAAGTAAATTTTAAATTATCATTTTAATTATTGACATGAATTACCTTATCAGGATATATTCAATTTGTTAAAGATTGAGCAGTAACGGTATTTTCTATTACAATGACAACTTATATCTTTTTCAAAAAATTTGGCTTACAATTTTAAATGATTTGAAGCTACTGTAACTTTAGGACTACTGAACTGTTGATTACTGTTACTTCACAAAAAACTTAAAATGATAGCAAAGCAAAATTTGAATGTCATATTTATCATATCACAAATTTAATTGCATCCATTCATCTGCAATCAAAACATAGATCAATTTCATAAAAATAGTTGCAGGAGGAAATGAAAAATGAAGGAGAATGTCATTGCAGATTGATTAGAAAAAGTGTCACCAAATGCTGGATAATATCAATGGCGTTCTATTCTTATTTAGGATTTCTACAAATTTCTACATAATGAAAATAATTTTTCAATTTTCAATTTACATGCTTGTATTTTGCTTGCTTTGATGAAGTTTAAATTAAAACGAAAAGATACTATTAATAGTCATTGTCACACTTTTAACATTTTTTTATATTCTTTTAAAAATGCATCACTTTGATATTAACAATAGCTTGAAAATTATCGTTCATCCATCAATCATATTATCTTTTTTATTCCTGCCCCTTTTTCTTGGATTTTAAAAATGACCTACATTTTGCAATCGAAAATTTAAATACGTTGAGATAATTATTTACAACCATTTTCATAACTATAACTCCCGAGATATTTTCACGAAATATGAAATGATACAGCAAATAATCCATTTTCATCCTGATTACCTGCTCTTCTTTACCTATCAATATGCCAAGTAAATGGTCAGATATGAGTTTTTAATTTAGTACAGAATTTATGGAATAAAAAATTGCTACTTAAATAGCAGTATTTTTCAAATTTCAAAATAGCATTTTTTAATTCCAAAATCAAAGAAAGGAGAGAAGAAAATTTTCTAAAATCGTCATTTAAAAATTGTAAAAACATTTTATAAATTGAATCAAAAGAAGTATGCTTTCTCTTTTATTATAAACGAATTGATTACATTCATCAAATTAAGATACTTAAGAATTATTCAAAATAAGCTTATGGTAGATCAGCTATACAAGTTTAATCGATGGATCCATTTGAAATAATAGCAAACTGGGATCATTTGTCCGAATTATATAAATTCAAATGGTTATTTTAATGTATTTAAATTTATTTTTATTCATTTTAAAATCACCTGAACATATCATGTTATCATGTAAACATATCATGTAAATGATCGATCGATTAAATTGATCATAATCAGTAATCTTCCTCACTTTCCATCTCTTCTTTCCTCCTTGCTCTTGCAATTTCCGCATTAATGTATGCTTTAAATTTCCGGATGAATCGCGGTAAATCATAGCTATAAAGTATAGATGTAATCTTTTATAGCTTATACATATATGAAAATTGAAAAGTTTCTCCTTTTGAAAAGTTCCTCCTTTCCTTTTAAATGACGAAAATCAAAGTTATAATTAAAGAATTTAATGAACCAACCTAAAATCAGTATCGATAACGATAGCATGATTGATATAGCTTAATGATGGTCTTTCTAGTTCAACACCACACATTACCGGTAATCTAATGCCTGAAATAAAATTTCCAAGAAAAAAACCTGATATTGGCCTAAAATAAATTTAAGAATTGTTTGAAACAGCTATTGAACTGAAACTTTATCAAGTAATTGTAGTACCTTCTTTATTCATTTCCGCTAACAGTTGAAGTAATTTTTTTTTTTAAATTTTCACTTTTTTTTTCACCTCGTTGATTGAACGCAAATCGTAAGCGTTTCTTGATTTTTGGCCAAAGTTTCTTCGGTACAACACTATTCAATGCTTTACGAATCGTATTCGCAAATGTTCCACCGAGTCCCATATAAAAAGAAATAAAATAAAAATAAAAAATACAACAATTTGATATTTTGTCAGCGTTAGTTCAAAATGTGAAAATACTTTATTCATTAGAAATAAATTAAGTAGAAGATAAATTTCAGTTATCGAATTTGTTTTTCTATTAAAAAAGAAAAAAAAAGAAAAAAGGAGAAACCCCTTTCATCTTGATATCCACACCGGTTAATGCGACATCACCATATAAGCGACTATGTCTGAGATATGGGCGAACCTTAATTTGTTTGTTGACCAATATAAAGATTAAATAAGATTGTATTTCTTATTTGATACGGTACTTGTTGTATGCAAACTTCATTTCATTCGTTTTTCCGCCTAGCGGATATTGCATAGTGCATCTTGGATAAAATAACTAAATGCTATTTGTAATTTTTATTGAAGCAAAAGAAAGAGTAAAAACAAATTTTCAGCAATAATTTGATCAAATCTGATCACTGATTTCTGCTCATTCTTCTATTTCCTGATCACTTCTAACTGATGATGTAAAAATGAATAAACAGGATTTTCTCTTTCTCTTTCTCTCTCTCTCTCTCTCTTTCAACTATTTTATACATTTGTTTAAAGTTGTGTTATAATTTGAATTTTAATTACACCAGAAATTCGTCTCAAATTATATTTTCCTAATTTTAAAATTTCAAAAGAAATCAACCTACCGTTACATCAAGTTCCGCATTTGCATTCACAATATTATGCTGTTGTGTTTTGCCAACAAATAAAATCAGCAAATTAACTTGTATATCAATTTTAACACCTTGTTCATTGATAACAAGATATGGCCTTCTAAAATAATTTTATGCTTTTATTTATCTGATTTATGATATTATATAATTGAAGATAAAATTTTTCCTATAAAAATTAACACCTTCGAAATCATTTACTTCATTTTACACAAAATCAGGAAAACTGATCATTATCATGCAATCGCCAAATAATTTCAAACAATTCTATATTTCAAAACTTAATTATTAATTAATTGAAAACTTAATTGGAAAATTATTAATTGAAGCAAAATAAAATTTACTAACCTTGTTAGATTAGCAATAAATTGAAGTTCACAATGAGCGCAAAATAATTTAGCTATTGGTTTTATAAATTTTGGTAAATTATGAGTACGGAATGTTTCACGTAACACACCCATATTTTCATCGTAAACATGTGCAAAGAATGTATTAGGTACATATTCGCTGATAATAACACCGAACATCTAAAAAAAAAGAAAAAAAACGAAAAAATACAATTAAAAAGAGTAAAATTAAGAGAAATAAAGACATTAAAAACTTCATTTAATATGCAATTAACGAACTTTATCACCAAAAGCTGATATATTGAGCATATTTGGTCGATTAACATTTTTAGCTTTTTGCCCAAAAAATACAATGCCTGAATCGAGCCCAAATATCACATCCTGTCAAAACAAGAATTCATATATTATCATATTACCTTAATCTTGTACTGTCCCATTTTATACTTTCAATGTTGTTGATATTTCATGCCATTTGAAAGTTAGTGCTGTATGTTAGGAAAACTGTCAGCTAACGTTACCCAATTGTCATCCGACGGATAATAATTCTTGACGAATGATTGAAAGATTAACAAAAAATGAAACAAATAAGAAGAGGGAAATGATTTGCATGCATGCATACCTCATTTGAAAATTTTGGTGAATACAGTAATGTCAAATCTGGTGCCCAAAGACCATTTTTTAATAGTGGATTGAAACGTTCACTTGTAGGAGTTGTTCGAAAATGAATATCACGTGTTTGTCGTAAAGAAATCGTATCACCAGAATATGTCATTACATCCATATCGATTCGATCATCAGCACATAATTCAGCTGCAAATTTTGCTGCCAAATCTTCATCATCTTCCGCCTAGAAATGGGGTTATATTTCGAACTATCGCATTTTTACAGCACCAGAATACAATAATTTATCGATTACAATTTACAGAACTACAGTTTTTACAATATCACAACATACAGTACCACAATTTACAGTATCATAATATTTTACAATACCACAAATAATGCTTATTTTGTGTGCTAAATTGATACTATTATCAATTTGTAGATTTATTTTTGAAATTCATTTAAATCTTAAAAATAGTATATTTTTGTCAATTAAACATATATAATCCTGATGCTTTCCAAAAAATTTTTCAATAATTGACAAAAATTTTGGTCAATAATTTTTTTGAAAAAATTCATCGCAAATGATATTAGAGAATTTATAAAAGATAATATTGGCATTTATCATTCGTACCTTTTCGTTGGATGTTTCATAAAAAGCATTTTCATTTTCAACTGGTTTTGCATTCAATGGTTGAGGAAGTTCGCCGAATCTTAATAGATGTGTAGGCGTTGGCGTTGATGATGTCGATGGCGGAACAGGTGTCGTCATCAGAATCTTAATTTAGAGAAATAATATTTACAAATCTACGGTATTTTTCCAAAATGTGATGAAGGTAACCTGTCGTTTTTGTTGCTCGAAGAATTGTCCTACTTTTACAGCAAGTTGACAAAGTTCACTCCCGAGGACATCGGTTACTGCTTGCTCAATCACTGACCTGTTTGTAAATGGTAATATTTGAGGAAATCATTTATTTAACTCTTTATATTTTATTTTTCTAGGAATATTATGTTGAATAAAATTGATCGGTAAAAAGCCAATAAATTGCTAAATTAAAAAAAAAAATGAAACTACAATGGGGCTAATCGCAAATTGCATACCTCAGTAAGTTTAGATAGGTTGACATGTCACCTGCGAAAACAATTCTTACAAGATCAGAGGTGACATTGCATACCGGTGTCTAGAAGGAAGTATACTTAGTGAGCAGAAAATACGAAGTGACAAAGACACATCATGATGAGGACAGAATCTGGACAGAACTATTGTTGGATACAAGATGATTGCCGATTGTAGAATAGACATAGTAGTATTCGAGCAATTAAATCCCTTTTTTTATGGCACAAAAGATCAAGCAATGATCAATGTGAGAATGTAATTAAAAAATAATTATTGAGCGATAGCTCTAAAAAAAGTTAGGTTAAGTTAATTCATTAATATGCTCAAAGTTCAAAGGTCGGGATCTGAAGAGATCCAAAAAATCACAAAATTGAGAATTTTCTGATTCAATTAATGCCATTTGACAATTTAATAGAAAATAAAAAACAGCTAAACCTCAATAATATTCAATCGTTCGCTTTCATTTCGACTAATATGTATTTCCATTGAAACACTTAAATTCTGCACATCAGCTTTCAATTTTCCTTTATGAGAGATAAAGAAGGTTGAAGCATCATAGATTGCGTTAAGCATCACGTGAGGTAAGAATACATATGCTCCAATACCTACAAAGATTTTTTTTTATATTAACTCGATTTTTTGATATATTTTTTTAATTAATTTTTTTAATGATTAATTTTTACTTTAATTATTAATTTTTATATCAATTTTATCAATTTTTTATTAATTTGATTTTTTTTTGACCATTTTTGACATATTTGATATACTGAATGTTTTGATCGTTGTATTATTGCAAATAGAAAGAGAATGTGAAAGACGAAACTTTCAGAGAGGTAAACAAAGGGACTATTTAGGAGGATTAATTGTATGAAATAAACTTAATTAGCAACTTGGATTTAGTTATTCTTTTTTAAACAAGACTAATTGCTAATTGAATACCTCAGTAGATATGTTGATATGTTGATACGTCAACTTTAGATATGTTGACATGTTACCTACGAAAAGAATTCATATAAGATTAGAGGTAACATTGCATATCGATGTCTAGAAAAATGAAATTTGTCCCATTATACTAGTAAAATTATAATCTATAAGCTATTACTAATTATTAAGAGAGAAGAGAATATTTCGAGCCTAAGATTGCCAAATAAAAAATGCTGCACAAAATTTAAACGATATTATGGGAAATGAATCATAATACAGGTAGTAGTTTGAAATGATGACATATCATTGCTGGATGAAATAATTTGTCACCTATGGTAACAACTGACAGAACTATTGATCACTTGCAGTTTCTTTAGACTCAACTGATTTTCGTCCTTCTCAGTTGGAATAATGCTCTTAGTAAATTCGGCTTTACAGACTTCTGAAGTGACTCTAAGTCTCATGGATTAAGTGATTTTGGATAGCTTAAAACGGATTAAGTAACTTTGGATAGCTTAAAATGAGTTAAGTAAGTTTGGATAAAAATAACTTCGGATTAGAATGGATTAAGTAACTTTCGATTAAGTAATTTTGAATAGCTTAAAAATGAATCGCATTGTGAATGTTTTTGGAAGAGAAGTTTAGCAATAAATTCCAGTAAAGTTCATTCATAAATGAAAGAAATGAAAGATTTACTTACCGATATTGGCAAGGAATTTAGCTTTTATCGTTGGATTACTAAATTTATCGATAGTTAAATGTGAAATTTTGATTTGTGGTAGTTCAATAGCTGGCATTTCGGATTTTTCAAGTAACTGCGGTAATGCTTCAGCAGTCAAACCTGTGATATAATCCACACCCTAAAAATAATGAAATTCAGCTTTATCATCGCTCTAATTAGACAATGATATAATTAGATACTACAAACTATGCCTATCCAGATTATTGGTTGAGAGACGGATAGTCATTATATAAAATTTATCACTTACTTCTCATCGTTATTTAAATCATAGAAGTTCAAAAATTAAATATTCTGGCTAAAATTTGTAAAACTATGCGAAATAGTTAAATTTGACATTAAAATATTTCACGTCAACCTTTTGACTAATTCGAAAATATAATCCTGCTGGTACACCTGTATGAAGAGAATTATGATGATCGATTTCCTCTGATCTGGTTTCCAACAAAATTGGAATTCCCGAACTTACAATTTGCTCATATTCATTAGACAAGGAAACATTATGCTGAATATCGATTACAGTTGCTTCCGTTGACAATTGCAAATCAATACCTTTGCCAATTTCAAAGATGTAAAAGGAATAGATAATAATTAGTAGGCAACAATAATTCATAGTATTGAAAGAGAATAATAGAAATGATTATTTATAATAAAATAGTTGATAAGTTAATTATCTAAAAATAGCTCAACTTAACAATCTATATTGATTTGTTTGAATAACGAATAATCCGTATTATGTGATATATACTAATACGAGAAAATTACGTGAACTTGAGAGTAAACTGATTCGTAATAGAATTCAAATGATTGAAATACTAGCAATGAAAGCAGCTGTGATAATGGTAGAGCGGGAAATGGAGGTCATTTAGTTGAACAGGTGACGCATCAGCAAAACTTTGAATCACTCTCGATAAAATTAAATACCTTCATTAATCATGCATCTTTCAATTTGTTATGGAACTTTTTCATTTATTAATGATTTCCTGATATTTTCATTGAATTACAATAATTTGTAGCCATCTGAAATGATCAAAAATTTTGAATGTAATCTTTAATTTCCAATAATTAATACCCATCTGAAATCAGAGTTTTTTTTTGACCTTTTTTCCTGAGCCGGAAATTTTGATTCAAAAATCTTGAATATAATATAATTTAATCAGTTGGCATAGTTTTTAACAATCATACAAAATTGAACTGAGTTAACTTTTAGCGATTTTACAAATAATATTATTAACTAAATTTATCCATCACATTTCATTAAAAAAACGTCGTTTAGCCAAGAATTTAGCAAAAAAAAAGTGTAATAAAATTATGGTATATCATAAATACTTATCATAAATATTATACTTAACATAAATATTATACTTACACGTATCTAAAACAACTCTTTTTCATTCTATCATATTTTATTTCAAACAATTCTTTTATTTTTTGCTTATTCGAAGTGTTTTCTTTTCAGTTCATTTGACCTGAAATGTCATCCTGACATGTTAATTCCTGAAATCAATCTCTGGAAAATTCATCACAATTCACAAGAACGTCTTTTAGCTAAGAATTCAGCAAAAAAAAAAAAAA